CCACACAAGGAGAAATCAAGAATCTGAGACTCAAACATCCTTGAGAAGGATTAAAATTTTATTAAAAAATTGATATTCAGGGGCTGTACTTGTTTACTTTCCAGGGAAATTGAGTTAGTTCCCTCTTAGGTAAACTTACATTTATAAGATAAATTAAAGGCAATTATTTTAATATTTATTTTTCTATGTGCATCATCCCAAAGGAACTGCAGAGAAATTCCTTCGGCAAGCGTTACTATGTATTTGTATCTATCAGATACGCATCTAAATGCTGCTCATGTATCTGCTGCTGCCGTCCTTCCTTTCTGCTGATTTGTTTTGTTTTTTCGTTATCCCCTCGAGGTTTTTGGTTTTGGACATAAAACAACCCAAGGCGAAATATTTGAGAAATCGCTGCACTAATTTGATTCCTCCTGTCATCCAGTGAGCCACAGCCACTGAGCCACTGACAGGTCATTACGGATTGCAGAGATACGGGGCTTGCAAAGACCCTCCAGTCCGGTGTGTGTCCACGTTGTGCTGTGACGTTAATTATGGTCAACATCAGTCCTCGCCCCCGCATCCATAGAAGGGACATCACCACAAATGCCGGAGCTAAATCCTGGCGAGCACATTGCCCCAAAAGAATTCACAATTGAAACGTGCCATTTGCAAGGCAGCCCAGTAAATGGTTTCATTTGGTTAATATTATGCACTCGTCGTTTGAACGGGGTACTTTGAATAGGCCAGCAACAGGTGGCTAATATGGGAATTAATTATGGTAATGGCCGTAGGAATAAGAAGGGAATTTTATTTGAATATTAAGGTAGATGTTTTTATGAAAATGGAGACTCGTAATTGGTTAGGGTTTCTTGAGGCTTGGATAATATTATATTTGACTTTATAAATATAACTATTTAGGGAATGCCATAGGTGCAGATTCAACTAAAGGGATCTATATATATTAATAATAAGCCGAATAAGTTTTCGTATACAAATACAATTTGATAAATACTATTTTAGAAAAACCAGTTCGTAGGGTTTTCATATCCTCACAGACTCAGAAGCCTAAAATAGTGTGAAGAAGTCATTTCTGACCCTATAAATCATATATATTTTTGATCAGCATCAACAGGAGAATATATCTAGCCATGTCAGAATAAAAAAAAAAATTTAAAATTTTTCAACATTTTATAAGGGGTTACATCGTTATAATTTAAAAAAATTTTACAAAAATGTTAAATTTTTTAAAATTTTAAATTGAGTATGCAGATTTTGTTACCTTATAAAAACTAGCATAGGAAAACTTTCCGAATTAAAATTAATGACTTTTTGGCTTAGTTAAGCGACTTTTAACTTGGATTATTATCATATAATAGCTTCTGCGAATATTTATGATAGACTTTTGATTCTATCCCATAATTCAACAGCAAACTGCTAAAGTATATCAATTTCAGATTCCAGAAGTTTGTGTCCTTTCTTGCTAGTTCCCAAAACCTTCGGATTAGAGTATTTAGCTAATAGTTAAGCTATTTCTCTCATTATTTCTAATATTTCCATTATTTGTCATTATTTTTTGCACCTTGCACGTAGCGCGGACTATGACAACTACAGGAATTTATTTACCCTATCCTTAAATGCGCATTGTTCCTTTTTTCAATTCTGACGCAGTTATGTACATTCCCAGCCTCCGTGCCCTCCGCTGGAGGAGCCACGTGTGTGTGCGGTGGGCACGGGATGTGCTCGGCCATGGTAAATGGGCATTACCAGGGGCTTATTTGGATGCTGACCACCACCATCGCTGAGGAGAACGTAGAAGGGACAGCAACTTGTTGCCTGTCCCGGGAAATATGTTAATATGTCTGGCTTCCCAGGGATATTTATGAAGTTATTAAGTGCGGGCTTCGGCAAAAATAATGACCAGAGCCAGATCCGAGAGGCCTGTCCCTCAATAATTAATTAGAAATTTGCATAATAAAAATTATACGCTCAACGTCGATGGAACCATTTTTCGACGGCTCAATTTGTGGCCGAGTTAAATATTTAGTTTACGGAATACTCAGGCCACGAAAAATGGCACTGCAATTACCAGCAATCTGTGAAAGCTCTAAGACAGAGTGGGAGTGGGTGTGGAAGTGGATGTGGACTAAGAGTAAGGGGGCGTGGCCATTGTCTTTGTGCGACAATCCATAAAAACAAACTGTTAACAGTTGGCGCTTGGGCATTGGCGGCATTGATTGACCAGACAAGTGCAAGCAATGGAGCCCTAAGCAAGAGCTCAACGTCAGCTCCAACATAGCCATCACCAACGCCATCGGATTCAGTTCCACGTATCCACAGCAGCAGTTTATACATCAGCTGCTGCACTTCCCAGGGACGTGACACGGTGGAACTGAAGCTAAGGAAACCCCCTCTAAAGAAAATATTCATGCTATTATCCCAAAAAGAGATAAACATAATAAGAAAGCAAAATAACTTCATACTAAACTGTTGATAAACAGGGGAAAAAAGAGATTGTGTTCAGTTTTAGGCTTCTATAAATGTGTATAATGAATTTATTAAAGAATTAAGTATTATAATATGGTGACATATTGTCAAGTTGGCATTTCTTCCTCCATGAAGTTATAATAGGAACTTTTTGAGAGGTCCTAGCCCCACTGTATCACATCCTGCCTGCCATGTCTGCCATGAATGATGCGCCCTTTCTTGCCAACAACACATTTAGCCCCGGTTGCATCTCTATATCCACATCCACATCCACACACATTTGATAGACAATGTTTGTGCACTGATTTATACTCAGCCAGCTATTAAATAAGAATTTTCGTTATTATGCTCCGCAGCGGGATTTTATTATGTGACTTTCAAAAGCTCTGTTTTGGCCAACTTGTTTTGGCTTTAGCCTTAAAGTCGCGCCAAGTAGAACATTATTATTGTTCTTTAAAGCGGCAACGTGTCTTATCTGTGGGCCATTATGCGCCGTATGAGTAACCTTATATATCTAATTCTTAGACGTGCATTTCATTTTACAGCCGCCTTGTCGGTAATCCCATTAAGGAGTTATCTGGCGAGACATTTCTGCACAATACTCGACTGGAGGCACTGTGAGTATATTTGAGAAAAATCATTCGAAAATTGAGTTTGTTTACGAAGTAAGTGAATTTTATTTAACACAGAAGAGCCATTTACCTTTTAATAAAATGTTATATGTTGATTTTATGAACCAAATAACCATTATACTATTTTCTCTTGTTTAAGTGTTTCTTTATTTCCTGGAAAAATCATTTAAATCCCTTTCAAAACTCTCACAAAATTCCTTTTAAATTGGAATACATAATCTTCCTTTCATTCAGTTCCCTGGCTCAGATGCCCCTGCACATCCACCGGAACCTAATGGAGCCACTGAACATCTCGTTTTTGAATCTCACGGGGATTCGCTATGATCACATTGACTTTGCGGTCATTAATGCCATGAGGAACTTGACGTACATCATCTACGATCGGTTCTTCTACTGTTCCATGTCACCGCGGATAAGGATGTGCAAGCCATCCACCGATGGTGTTAGTTCCTTTCAGGATCTGCTAAGCAAACCTGTGCTAAGATACTCGGCCTGGGTGATGGCCACTTTGACCATAGCTGGCAATGTGCTGGTGCTTTGGGGTCGTTTTATCTACCGGGACGAGAACATGGCCGTGACGATGGTCATAAGGAATTTGGCCTTGGCCGATATGCTAATGGGTTTCTATCTGGTCACTATTGGGGTCCAAGACTATCGCTACCGGAATGAGTATTACAAGTAAGTGGGATTTATAGAGTTTAAGGATTTATTACTCTTATGTTAACCTTTACCTTCCAGAGTTCTGCTGGACTGGATCACCTCTTGGCAGTGCACCCTCATTGGCACTCTGGCAGTGAGTTCCTCGGAGGTTTCGATGCTAATCCTGGCATTTATGTCTCTGGAACGCTTCTTGCTGATTGCGGATCCCTTTCGGGGCCACCGCAGCATCGGAAGCCGGGTTATGTGGTGTGCCATGCTGTGTATATGGATGACAGGAGTGGGTTTGGCTGTGGTGCCGATCTTCCTGTGGCGTTCCAGCACTCTGCCCTATTACGGATCCTACTCGGGCACTTGTTTCCCCCTGCACATCCACGAGGCCTATCCCATGGGCTGGCTGTATTCGGCGTTCGTCTTCCTGGGCGTCAACCTTATGTTGCTCTTGATGATCGCGCTATTGTACACAGCTCTTTTGATCTCCATCTGGCGGACGCGAAGTGCCACTCCGCTCACTCTCTTGGATTGTGAGTTTGCCGTTCGATTCTTTTTTATTGTGCTGACGGATTTCCTGTGCTGGGTGCCCATCATTGTGATGAAGATCTGGGTGTTCTTCAATTACAATATCTCGGATGACATATACGCCTGGCTGGTGGTCTTCGTTTTGCCCCTTAACTCTGCAGTTAATCCCCTACTGTACACTTTTACAACTCCCAAGTATAGAAATCAGATATTTTTGCGAGGCTGGAAGAAGATCACCTCCAGAAAGCGTACCGAAGCCGGCAATACCAATGTTGCCACCACCACTACTGGCACGGCCACTGCCTCCTCTCAGCATCCGGACGACTCTACAGGCAAGTCAATGCCATTGGCCCTTACCCTGGGGAACTGAGGTAAATGTCCATTTGGAGCTTTGAGGAGGATCGAACTTGTATACCAGATCAGATTTAACAGCATTTATTTTGTCTATGATATCGAATATCTATATATCTGTCTAAACTTAACCCGTGTAAGATAACCAAAGGAAAACGTGAAATAAATGGAATGTGATATTTGTAAGGCAAATTATAGGCTTTATAAAAGGAGAGATGAATGGGGAAATTAAAATTTTTTCGCAAATAAACTTCGATTCTTACTTTTTCAATCAACATAAATGGCAAGTAACTTACATCTATTTTTTATACGAACTTAGTGAATACATATTTCATTCATAACATAACTCTTTGACTGGATTGTACTTTGTTTTTTCTTTTTTCCTTATAATATTTTAGCTTATTCAATTAATTCTTACCCCCGGAAACCTCCTTTAAATTGTTATAAGCTCTTACTGTAATTAGTATAAATTTGAATAACTTAAAGCCTCATACTAGCATTCCTCTTCATCAATCTTCGCCAGGACAAGTTTGGAACGCGAAGTGCGAAACTTGCGCATCCGTTCCAGCTCTTCTACAACAACTTGCTTCTTGTGCTTTCGTTCTAGATGCACTCGCAGCCTGAAATAAGATTACACCTTAGTCAAAGCTCTCGTTTTATCAAAAGCGAACCGGAACCTACTTGGTACGAGCTGGGAAACTTTGCTGGCAGTCGGAACACTCGAATGGCATCGCCGTATGCGTGTACTCGTGATTCCTCAATGAGTCTGAAGAGGTAAACGACTTCTGGCAGTCGCGGTGCTCGCAAATGAACCGAAATCCTGTGTGCTTCACCTGCCGATGGATGCTCAGGTGCGAGCGCTGGGCGAATCTTCGATCGCAGAGATCACAGGCAAAGGGAAAGTCCTTGCTGTGATATCTTTTGTGGATCTCCAAAGATTTGGCTATAGAAAAGACCTTGCCGCAGATGTCACAGGCAACTCCAGACTGCATGTGCTTGGCGTCCGCATGCACCTTGAGAGCCTGCCTGGTCAGGTAGGACCTGTTGCAGTGGTAGCACTTAAATTTCGGCCGGTCGGTCAAGTGAATCGCCTGGTGTTTAACCATGCGGGAATGATTCTGGAACTCCTTTTGGCAGAAATGACAGTTGAATTTACCCTTATGGCGCTGGTGGGAAGATGTTTTCTTCTTGCTAGTAAAACCGCCGGTAGCCTGCTCAGTTTGTAGCTCCTCCTGAAAGGTATCCTGTTCCTGTTCCTGCTCTTCTCCGATATCCTCAAGCAAGTACACTTCATTCATCTCAACCATCTCTTCTACCACCTCACCAGGCTTTGGTTCTAGTTCTTCTTCTTCCATGCCTTCGTCGGGGTTTTCGAACTCGTAAATTTCACGCAACTGCTGATTGGCTTGGGCCACCTTCTTGTGGAAGTCATAGGCCCACCGCAGCTCTACGGCACAGCGGCTGCACAAGCTTTTGGGCACCTGGCCTGGACTCTGGCGCAAATCTTCCTTGGTGCAGATCTCATAGCAGTCGTAGTAGCTTAACTCCGCTTCGTGGTCGTATATGACGGTCATGTCCATCATTTGCCTGGGATGGGGCTCCTCCAGACATAGGCGGCAGATATTTTGGAGCCTAGAAATGGAAACAGAACCTGGAAATGAGCCTTCTGGAGACATCCGTTTCGCACGACTCTCTGTGGATACGCTGGATATCTGGTGTTTGTTTTTCTCTAGCTGTAGTGGATCCATTTGTGCTTATTTTTAATTGAATTAATTTTAACTTTCCTCTTAAATAGTCTTTTCTCTCATTGCTTAAAGTCAAAAATCCCCGCAAAAAAGCGGAAAACAGAAAACTAGAGATGCTATAACATTTATACTAATATCGATATATGTTTTTCTTCTTATTTTTGTAATAGTATCGGCTTATGTTTTAGCATTTTTAAGAATTACATATATATGATTAAATTACTTTTTTCCGTTGACAAAATTATAACAAATGAATATTTTAAAATAACATCAAAAGTATTGATGTATTTTCCTTCACGGCATCTCTTCTTAAACAGCGTTGCCAGACTTTGCAATAATATTATTCACAATATCGATAGATAGACCAACTCAAACTCAAACATTGGCCACCACCAGTATATGAGCGCAAAACTTTTCCTTGGAACTTAAAAGTTTTTGGGAAATAAGCTGTTTTTTTCTGTAAACATCAATGTTTTTGGAGTCGGAGACCACCACGATTGCTCCAGACGCCGACATTCTGCATCCCGATGACGCCCAGTACATTTGGCTGCCCATTGCGGTGCTTGTTGGCATTTTCTTTCTAGCAGCTCTGGTACGTTACTTTTCTTATCGCCGTTTTTTGTTTATTCAACTGCATTTGCATGCGCTTAATTATGTATTTGGGTGTCCGCAGGTCTACGTCATGTCGCGTACCCGCTGCCGCTTTTCCTGCAACTGCCTGGGCTGCAGGAAGGCTCCGCGAAACGGCTATATCAACGTGGACGAAGAGGACTCGGATGTGCCCATGGCCTGTGGGGATGATGACCACATGGCAGCCAGCCTGCTTGTGGGTCGCCTGCATATAGAAGACGTGAGTGAGGTGTTACATATAATTGGACAGTTGATAACCCCCCATAATCCACAGCCAAATATAGCCTAGCCAAAGTAGATGTATTGCATCTCGTAAGCCTTCCATTCATACCATTTATTGTCCACGTTGGTGGTTGTCATCAGTTTGGTTATTGCTACAAACTGCACAAGTGCCTCTACTACAAAAATAACGAATATAACCCTAAAGGATCAGTGATCAGTATTGGCGGCTCCCAGGAGTCGCGTCGTCAGGTCGTAAAAACCAAAGAAGAAGGCACCACCCAGCGTGATCCACATCACTCGGGGCACAAATCCAGCAAACAGACTGAAAATAACATAAAAATATATATATATATATAATCCTTACATATAATAATAAATGTAAACAAAGACAGACAGCTTTGGGGACGGATACAATACTTACCCGCCAAATCCTCGCTCCACATAAATGCCACGGAGAATGCTATAGGCATTACGCCGCCGACTCAGACTGTCCCTTTCAGCCAGCATAATTCGCGTCTTGACCACGTCCAGAGGCGTTGTTAAGCCCGCTGAAATTCCACCTGCAATGGCGCCACACAGAGCCACCGAAATCGGCGTAGATTCATAGCCTGTCACGGGCGTCCACTGAATCTTAAAGTACTCCCACAACGGAAACTGTATCAAACTAAAGGGTATCTCCCGCATAATGGTTGAGCCAAAGCCCCGGTACAGACCGCGTCTCAAGCCTTCCGTGCGGTAAGCACGGAGCAGGATTTGGAGCCCGGACAAGTGTTGTTTGTTACCCGTTAACGTTTGGGAACGCTGTTTGGCTATTTCCACGGGAACGCGAATCAGGCAGGCCAACTAGGAAAGACACAATATGGTTAAATCTAACAAGACGCCTTTGGATTTCTTCGAAAGTCGTACCACTTCGGCTGCCGAGGCAGCTGCCATGTGAACATAAGGAGAATCTTTGGTGTGGGTGACTGAGCTGAGGAAGTGCTTGCCACATTCATAGGCGCAGAAGAAGAGAGCTGCCGTCGGAGCACTGCCGGCAGCCGCCGGGGCCAATCCTTTGTAGATGCCACGAAAACCACCGGCCCGCCAAAAGCCCAGCTCGCTCTGCAGTCGTGTCTTGACCGTGTCAATTGGAAACAGGGCAATGTCCACCACCACACCAGCAACGCCTCCAGCCTGTAAATGGTTATCTAATAACTTGTTTTTTTAATCAAATTTTTTAAGTACTCACAACCAGCGCATGGAGAAAGGTGAATTTGGTGACCGGCTCTTGCATGCTCACTTCCAAGGACCCTGCGGCCATGTCCTGAGCTAATTCTGCTGCCATATCCTAGAAATGTTTCAAATGCGCCCTCTCTAAGTCATGCTCCTAGGCAATATTTGTTTAATTATTTAAATAAACAAATCCAAGTTAATTTGGTTGTTAACGTAACAGTCGCGGCGCTAATCAGCTGATCCGTCTAGGGTTGTATAGATATTCAAAAAAACGAGGAAAGTAAATTTTATACTTTTAACACTTATGGCGTTGAGATGCTAATTCTTACTAAAATAAATAAAGCTTGTATTGTTTACTTTTATAAAATGTATCAATTTTGACTACCAAGTTACAAATCAAATATACATCATTTAATTTTTGCAAGTACTCGACTACCCTAGCGACCAGTTGTTCTTGGGAAAGAAGAAGAAAAAGCGCAACCGATTTGGCCAAGTGGAATACATCGCAATTGGCCGTGATTTAAGCGATAAAAAGCAATTGTCTGCAGCGGCGTAGGAAAACACAAATTAAGAAAACAGAATCATGGCCCTTCGCTTGACCCAGAGATTGCTGCAGACGCAGACGCCGTTCCTCACCCGTGTACGTTTTTCACGCCCGGAAAATTGGCCAACAAATGGAAATTACATAATGCGCGGGTGATAGATCCTATCATTGATCGCTTTTGTCTGTTCCAATTGCAGGGATACCCTCTGCTGGTGACCAAGGAGAAGACGGAGGACGTGGCCCACACCAAATCGGCACTGCAGAAGAAGCTGACCGTGAGTAGAACACCGAAAAATCTCGTCCAATTGAGGTTATAGCATCTGTTAAACTATATATCAATCGCTGCAAACAGGGCACGGACATTCCTTCGGCTCAGTATGGCGGTCGTCATGGCGTCACCATGCTGCCCGGCGGCGGCATTGGTCCGGAGCTGATGGGCTACGTTCGTGAGATCTTTCGGTACTGCGGTGCCCCCATCGACTTCGAGGTGATTGACATTGACCCCTCCACCGAAGGTAACGAGGATCTGGATTATGCTATCACTTCGATCAAGAGGAACGGTGTGGCGCTCAAGGGTAACATTGAGACCAAGTCCCAGAGCCTTTCGGAAGTCTCGCGGAACGTGGCCATTCGCAACGAGCTGGATCTGTACGTGAACGTGGTGCACTGCAAATCGTACCCCGGCATCCCGGCCCGTCACCAGAATGTCGACGTTGTCCTTATCCGCCAGAACACCGATGGCGAGTACGCCATGTTGGAGCACGAGTCTGTGCGCGGTGTGGTGGAGAGCATGAAGGTTGTTACTGTTGAGAACGCCGAGCGTGTCGCCCGCTATGCCTTTGAGTATGCCCGCCAAAACAACCGCAAGAAGGTGACTACCATTCACAAGGCCAACATCATGAAGCTGTCCGACGGCCTCTTCTTGGAGGTGGCCAACCGAGTGCACAAGGACTATCCCGAACTGGAGCATAACAACATGATCATTGACAACACTTGCATGCAGGCCGTGTCCAATCCCCACCAGTTCGACGTGATGAACATGACCAACCTGTATGGCACAATTGTGTCGAACGTTATTTGCGGCCTGATTGGAGGAGCTGGCCTCATCTCTGGCAGGAACTACGGCGACCATGTAAGTCAATAGGTGTTGCTCCGTACCTCCTTAATTATTAACAATGATTACTCTGTGCAGTACGCCATTTTTGAACCGGGCACCCGCAACACAGGCACCGCCATTGCTGGCAAGAACATCGCTAACCCTGTGGCCATGATTAATGCCAGTATCGACATGCTGAACCATCTGGGACACAAGGAGCACGCCAATGTCATCCAGGAAGCTGTTTACCAGACCATTGTCGATGATGCCATTCGCACCCCAGGTTAATTACCCCTCTCTTGGTTTAATTTTACATACCGTATATATTGGTTTATTTCGTCGTAGATCTGGGCGGCAGCCACTCCAGTACCGACGTTGTTCAGAATATACTCAAGATCTTGAGTGCCAAGCGCGTGAATTGGTAAAATAATCGTCTGCATTTAGAGTAGTTTCAATGTTCTTTTATTGAGCCGCTGTCACAATCGAGTGCTGTATTTTGTATTTAGTTTTTTTAAACAAAACAAACAAACATCTATCGCTTGTCCCCTCTTTACTTCACTGTTACAGGCCTATTTGTTGTATTATATTTTTCATGCTGTTATTGTATTATTTTAACCGTAAAAACTGCAGCAGAACTGTAAGTGTTGTTGCCTCCCATGGCCTAACTGTGTCCTAACCCAACTAGCACACCCACAAACTACACCTAACTACTAATTTCTTAGTTTTTTCATAAGTTTGTTTACTAAGATGGGTGAAATGGAGGAGGAATCAAGCAATAAGCAGATTTAAACGTTAACGTTGAAATTATGATTCTTCTATACTTGCTTGGTTCCTCCTTCATCTATATAAAAAATGGACCCACCTCTATGTTTACCAATGCTTTGTTGAACTATTCTGTTTTTTATCTGTCATAAGTAGTGCTCCAGTAAATCACACCACCAACACACACACACAAACCACCCAGTACACAAGTATGTAGTTTTTGTCGTTTCGAACGTGTAACCAAATTGTCCTTGTGCAGATCTAATCAACGAAATTATTCTGTTTTCTCTCCTCTCCCCCAAAAAAAAAATCCAAAAAACAAAACGCTTTACCGCTCCGCAGGCCACATGGAAACTATTTCAGCCAAGTTTAAACACTACTCTCGCACTACCGAAACTCAACCAACCAAGCTAACAAGAACTCAGCAAGATAAACCAAATCGAACTAAGCATAATACCAAACCAAACTCAAAATTATATTAACCCACAACTAAGCCAATTTGAGACATTCTCCTAGCCCAAAGCCAAGCGTTATAATGTGATGCCCCGCAAGAATCGGTTTAATCAAAGTTTGAGGTCAAAAAATTCCGCTGCTTAATCCCAAACAAAATATGTTATCCCGGCTAAATGTCCATTGTGTGTTCATTCATGATGTCAAAGTGTGATTATTCAGGTAATATAACATTAAGACTGTATATTATTTCATATGATTCTGTATTTATAAGATATTAATTGATTTATCTATTGTTTTTCACAGATTTTCTTGCTGGCCAAATCCCTTGTTCTGCACTCGGTGGGCTCCTCAGTGGGCTCTCTTTTGTTTAATTTTCCTATCCCAAGATATCACTACTTGATGAAAAATAAGAACCACACATCAGATTATGCCCCTAAGAAAATAGTTCCCAAAATAGTCAATCAAAGCGATATTTAAATTGTAAATTAAAGTTTTCCAAACATAAATTGTAATATTGAAAAGTTGATTCAAACAAAATGTATTATTCTGTTCGAATATTTATTAGTAAAAAAGAAAACAAAGACAAATCTGTAATTATGAAAGCTGTTTTAATGGATTTAAATAGTTTTTCGAATATATGGTCTTCGTGGACGAAGTACTGGTCCCTTCCAAAAAACATAAAGAAAAAGAGCTACTGTAGCTTAAAGAGTGACGTCTTTTACTTGATATCATCTAACTAACTAAAAAACTAATAAGCTTACATTTCTGTTTATTTGAAACAGATATTTACTCTAACACGCCTATGCCACATCTCTTATTGGATGATAGGTCCCCGGCAAAATCGCAAAAACACTGGCACTGTTATCAACCTCTAATATTTGATGCTCCAATCTTTAAAGTTTCTTTTGGAAAGCATAGGTTCCATGTATTAACTGATACGACTTTGAAAAACGAATTCAATTTTGGTTAAAATAGACTGGAACTCTAAAACTGTTCCTGGAACTAGCTTAATCCACTGCGTCCACTAAATTGCTTTCCTTGGGCACATTGCCCCACTTGAACACTGAGAAAGAACACACACTTTCCACGTTCGGTCAGTTTTATCAGAATTACTTCTTTGTTTATTTAAACCTTAAAAAAGCGACGGCAATCCAGACACCAGACAATCCAGTTTAGAAACGCAGCTTCTGGAAGAACCACTTGTTCTTGCCCTCCTTGTAGACGGACTCGAACTTGACGCGGGTCTGGAAACGGTGCGTCTTGCGCTTGACGGGATCCTTAAGGTCCTTGGGCGACAGCTTCTCGAAGCTGATGTCGTGCGCGGTGTAGCGGGTGGGCATCAGGTGGTTGTAGTTAAGGCTCTTCAGGAAGGGCTTAACCTTGGACTTCTTCTTCAGCTTGTTCTTGCCCATCTTCTTGGTCACCTTGCGAGGGTAACGGTCGATGCCGGCAACCAGAGCGTGGCCGAAAGGCTTCTCTGGGGTGCCATCGTCAGAGGTCTTGACGATGATGGCCTTGCGACCGGCGTAACGTCCGCTAAGGACGATTACGATCTTGCCCTGCTTCATAATTTTCCTCATCTTGGCGGCTGCTATTCCAATCGATGTTTAAAGTTGATGTTGTTGTTTTTGTTGATTGCATGAAAATAGTGAAAAACGAACACAGAGTTAGCAAATTCGTTGGTAAAACTGTATAAGTACTTAATATTAACCACATGAACTGAAATAACATCCATTATTCGTTTGTTATTTAGTTTTCCCACATATTGACTTTCGTAGTTTTGTTTGTAATTTTGGGCAGCGTTTTGTCTCGTAAATTTCCACAACTGCCCATCAATAGACGTATTTTCGTTTACTTCCAACACTTATTGTTCACTTTGCACTATTAATATTGCTGGTTGGTAATTGTGGGCTTCGGATTGTTTAGATTAAAAATTTGAATTTACAGGGGTTCAGTTATTAGAACTTACAGGGGTGTTAGTTTTACCGGAAAAGATGGAGAAATCGTGGTGCTGGCACATCGGAATATTACCGATACTATCGAGGAAAACATCGATTTCCTTTTTGGACATCGATGTTTTATGTTATTTAACATTTTACCGTACCTACACAATTCGACACGTTTACAGATACATGGGATAGAATTCTCATGTAAATTAAAGTAAATTAATAGAACCCAAGAAAACTCGGTAGTACTGACAAAAAATCACAATTTTTATTTTTGAATTGTTTATAAGGATTTCTTCAATAATTTATTTCGTTTTGTACTTTTAAAATTAATCTAATAAAATAGATAATGAAACTAACTAAATTATTAATTAAAGAGTAATTTTCTTAATATGTATGAGACTAACTAATTTATTTATTAAACATTTATCATAACAAAGAAAGTAATTTTTCTTAATATGTAAAATTTGTGAATGGTTAAAAACCGATAGTATCGATGTTTACTGCATTTAGGTTTGTTATTGCTGAATATTGTTTTTAACATAGATGTTAAGTGTAAATAACAGATTTGATAAAACAATAATTACTAACGCTTTGGAGGGAGAGGTTTTAGTATTTTTCCGCTGTTAAATTCAAAATTTAGTATTTAAATATTGAATAGTCAACCATATTTAAATCTCTTACTCCTTATTTAATATTTAAAAACTTATAAAACAATAAAATAACTGCGTTACGCTGCCGAAAGTTTGTTAACAAAATAGCTTTATTTATTTTTAGATGGTACTCATGTAGAAAACACAATACATACTAATCATTGCAAATGGAGACACTACTCCCCTCCCACATAGTAGTCAGATACAACGGAAATGCCCGGTTCTACGTCTTTTTTGGATAATCTTAAAGGTATTATGCCGATTCATGACGTAGCTTAGGGCAGTGGCAGCCGTGGTCAGGCCAGTCAGATACCACAGACCATGCAAGGCGGGATGATCTGTGGGGTTAGAGAGCAAACGTTTAGGATCTCTGGGTTACTTTACCGACTGCTTAACACTCTCACCCAAATAATTCCAGATGGGAGCTCCCAAACTCAGGCCGATTGTGGCCAGCTGCACACCCGTGTTGATCTTGCTGAGCAGTGTGGGCTCCAGTTGGGCCGTCACATGGGTGGCATCAAAGTAGCGCGAAAAGGTTTTCTACCAGACACAAGTATAGATAGTGAAAAGTAATGATAAGACACAGAAAACAATGTACTAACCGGCGGTGGCAGACTTATGTAGCGTATGACAAAACCAGCTCCCAAGAGGAATACGTCCCGGAAGACCACAATGCCGGTGAGCCACATGGGAATTAGATCCGTGTAACAGAGGGCAATAACGAGCGAGCCCATTAGCAGTTTGTCGGCCATTGGATCCAGGAAGGAGCCTGCTTTGCTCGCCTGGGAGGGCCATCGGCGGGCGATCTGTCCATCCAACTTGAGGGAGAAAGAATAAGTATTGTTTAATATTTATTATTACAAAAAAAGCATACAAAATAATGCTCAGGAAATGCTTCTTTTCATTGTTGTTGCCATGGTTGAATATATTTCCTTGGTTTTTCATTTTCTAAGCATTTATTTTGGGACTTCGGCCCTAGTTCTTGATACTAGATATTCTAAATGCTTATAAAAATAACTTGGTTCATTTGTTTTGTTTCTTTTACCAAATATATTTTCTTATACTACTTATATCTTACCAGATCTGATACTCCGGCGACGGCCAGCAGGCTCATTCCCAGCGTAAAGTCTCCCTGGACAATCACATAGCCGATGTAGGGCGACAGGAAGGCCCTGCTAATGGTCAGCATGTTGGGTATGGTCATGATATTTTCGCGCTCCTCGCGAATCTCGTCGATCTTCTCGCGCACCCGCTCCTGCACCTTGTGCCGTGCCTCACGGATGTCGTCGACCAGGAAGTTCTTGCGTTCGATGAGCTCAGCCCGTTGCCGATCGATGACACCTTGCAGCAAGTGCCGACCCTGCACTGTACGTAAATGCAGCGACTGCTTCTTGGCGTCGGCATAAAGGCGAAGGCGTGCCAGCTCCCAGTTTCTTCGTTGCTTAATATCCAGGAAGGATATGCGAATAAATCCGGTGGCAGCGGCGTAGCGGTTCAGGCAGTTCACGAAACTACTGCCTCCCACTCCCAGGACGTGCTCCAGAGTGGCAGCTCCCTGGTGCAGCGGTCGCTGCACCTGACGGAAAATGATGGCAGGCAGCATGGTCGTTTTACCGGGGACAGTCTCAAATCCTCGAACAGCAGCTGTTGGCACGGACTCTGGTCAGGAAGACCGTTTTTCTGGGGTTCTGAAATCAACGAGGCACAACAATCAAACTCAATTTAAATGACCTGTGGCCTTGATCCGCAATGATCGGCCACCGACCCTTGTACACTGGTTATCGCTTCCATTTAGAACGCACCATTGGTTTGCTCTTCTCTGCTTCTTTTCACGTCTCCTGGTGAATTACTCTGTTTGTGCTTTCAATCGTTAATTAATCACATCTACGAGAATTTATTAAAATTTTGTCTTGTTTTTATTACACAAGTCGGCTTCGAACAGTGTGACCGGGCGCTGTTTAAGCGTAATGCATTAATGTGAGGTAGTTTAATATACCAAGTGAATGTTAACAGTGTTTTAGTTCTGTTAAAATAGATGTTTTTTTTTTTGAATATTTTTTTAATTATTAAAATTTTTATTTAACGAGGGTAAAAGTATCTTACTAATTGTAAAATTACATACACAGCACTCTCTGCCTCTTCTTGGCTTCGAAACAAGGAAGCGAAAATATAAAAGGCATTTGGAAGCGTTGTTTATTTTGCAAACTAAGCAAAGTCAGCTGTTTAAGCATAAAAATCGATTGCAAAAAGAAAGTGAAAGCCGGAGCAGTGAAACGAAAAGAGAAGTGAAGTATTTTCCAGAATGTATGTAAAATACCTCTAACAGAAGTTTACAATATGTATGCACAGTATGTATAAATCTGCTAATAAAAGCTTAACAGATGTAAAATTAATGTATATCCCTTTACAGAGGGCGCCTTTTTTAAATTCGCGCAAGGACTCCCAGAATTATATTAAGACCAGCTGTTATTTAATATAATATTTACTCTCCTGCCCAAAAATCGAATAAAGCTGCTTTAGTGGCCAGTCAGGCCAGGACATATTAATGAGAGCACCATAAATAAGCCAGACCGCAAAGCTGCTGCTCTGGACTTGTCAGCCATTTAATTGGATTAAATTTAATTACGCTGGCACTTAACCAAGGCAGGCGCTGCTCGTCCGCCCGCCTTGGATATGCAAATTAAGTCGCGGTAAACGTTTATTACTTAATATAAACTTTGGCAGCGGCTCGACCATGACCTGACCTTATCATCCCTGCTAATGAATTTTCCCGAAAGTTGTCCGCCAGAATCTGTTCCACGTTTAATGGCCACATCCTAGGTCATAAAAGCGAACAGAGCCAAATAATTATGACAGGCAAGTTGCATTTTTGCCAAGTTAGCTAGAAAGCAGTCTTTGGGAATTATATACGCT